AGAAGCAGTTGGTACAAATTAAAAATGAATGCCCCTCAAAAGACACCATTAAGAGAAGCAAAAGGGCATGCTGTGCCACCAAGAGAGAACATTTTCAGTGTTTGATCTATGAAAGGACATGTTCTGAATAAAGAATTCATAACTTAATAGTAAAAATATTTGGACAAGATATTTAAATATATCAGCAGGACACATAAATGCCTAGAAGCACATGGAAAGTTGCTCACCGTTCATCTTCAGGGCAGTGCAGATCCCAGACCACAGCAAGCAGTCACCGTGCGCCACCTGGCAACTGCGTCAGGAAGACTACCAGCACCAAGCCCTGGTTTCAGTGTGAGGACGCAGGGCTTGATGTACTGCTCTGCTTGGGAATTCCAGAGGGTCTAGGCACTGGGAATAGCTTCGCTCAGTGCCGCATAAAGTTAAACATACACTTAACATATGCAGTTGAGCAATCCTATTTCTTGGATTTTTTATTGATTTATTTTTTTTTTTTTTGGTGGAACCAGGGATTGAACTCAGGCCCTTGCGCTTGCCAGGGAAGCACTTATTCCACTGAGCCATCTCCCCGGCGCAATCCTATTTCTTAAGTAAATAAAAGATCAGTGAAAAATGAAAAGATATGTTTATATATAGTCCTGCACTTAAATATTGTTTTTTGTTGTTATTGAAAACATATTCACTGCAGTCGTTCAGGCTGGCCTCGACTCCACAATTGTCCTGCCTCACCCTCCCAACTTCTAGGATTACTGACATGTGCCATTGCACCCAGCTCAATTGCAGTTAAATATTCTTAGAAATTTTATTATAATAGCCACAAAGAGGAACTTCAAAGCTAGGTTAGTAAGTTGTGCTATATTCACAGTATAGAACACTACTCAGCAATAAAAAGGACCAGGCAGGCTGCCAAAACACATCACAGCATGGATGAGCCTCCATGCTGTGGTAGGACACAGGCTACTGAAGGATGGCAGGCAGATGCACAGGAGCGCAGACTGTGTGACACTGTGAGAGCGGTAATGACAGGAAGCAGAGGGATGCTGTCTAGGAGTAGCAGTGGAGTGGAGGGAGTTGACAGGGCCTGGGATACATGTGTTAGAGTAATGGGAAATGTTCTGTTTCACTGTATTGTGGTGCATTACTCTGTCCTTTTGTGAAATTTGATCTAATTTTGCGCAGACAATGAGAGAACTTTACATGTAGCTCGTATCTCAATAAAGCCTGTTGGTTAAAATCGAAATATCCGTTACAAAATAAGATGTATATGAATAGCCTATTGTCACATAAAAAGATGTTCGATATTGCTAATCATTGTATGAGGTTTCTGTTTTGTTTGTTTTTGGGTTGTTTTGTTTTGTTTTGTTTTGTTGGTGGAACCAGGGATTGAACTCAGGCCCTTGTGTTTGCCAGGCAAGCACTTATTCTACTGAGCTGTCTCCCTGACCCCAATATTGCTAATCATTGTAGAAATAGTAAGTAGAGCTGGGCATAGTGGTGCACCTGTAATCCCAGCACTCAGGAGACTGAGGCAGGAGTATCACTGAGAGCTCAAGGCCAGTCTGAACTGCACAGGATGATGCAGAATAAAAAGAAGAAGAAGAGAAATAGTCATTAAAATCACATTGAGTAACTACTGCACCCTTCCTAGAATGGCTGTATATCAGACATTGGTGAGGTGGAGGAGCAACTAGAAGTCTCTTACTTTGCTGGGTGGAACATAAAATGGTACAGCTGCTTTGGAATCTACTTTGGCAGTTTCTTAGAAAGTTTTTAATGTGCTTAACATCTGACCAAACCATTCTGCTATTTATGTTGCTGAGGATGTTTCTGTAAAAAAAACAAACAAAAAAAAAAAAAAACAGTCATGGAATTCACTACTTAGAGTAGCCATTTTATTGTATATAAGTTAAGATTCAATCACTTGTTTTTTTTTTAATTTTTTAAAATTTATTTATTTACATTTATTTATTTATTGTGTGTGTGTGTGTGTGTGTGTGTGTGTGTGGCCAGCTCAGCCCACCTGGGGGCAGGGCTGGCTGGCATGTGGTGCTGGGGGATTGAACCGCGGTCCCTGTGCTTTGCTAAGCTTCTTCCAAGTACGTGCTTTAGACCACTGAGCCATCTCTCCAGCCCCAATCACTTGGTTTTATAAATCAGAATTTTAAAACTCCAAATGATCTAGGATAGAAGTCAATATGTGACAAAATAGGTATATGTCAATCTTTTCACCCAGCACTTCTGCTTTTAGAAATTTTTATTCCCAAAGAGGTTAATAGTAAAAAATTGAAAATAACATAATCATCAGGGGCTGGGAGATAGCTCCTTGGTCTAAGTGCCTGCCTGGGAAGCACAAGGACCCAGGTTTGATCCCTGGTACCGTATGTCATGCTGACTCCAGAATCCCAGGCGCACCATGCCGGATGTGGTGGTGCTCATGCTGGGGAGACTGAGATAGGAGGATCAGTGCCTGTCCAGGCTGCGTGGCAAGACCCTGTACCAAATAAATATCAAATAACTATCAGTGACATAGTGGTTAAACAGCTTACAGTATATGTATGCAGCACAATCCCACATAGCCTTTTAAGAGTGATGTTGTACACACATGTTCTGTATCATTTAGTAATTCTTTTTTTTTTTTTTTTTTGTGGAATCAGGGTTTGAACTCAGGCCCTTGTGCTTGCCAAGGAAGCATTTATTCCACTGAGCCACCTCCCCGGCCCCATATTTAGTAATTTTTCTCGTAGGTCTGTGTTGACTAAAAGTGGTTTGTGTGTGTTCACCAAAAGACATAATATAAGGACATTACTGACAGTATTGTTACTCATGACAAAACACCAAAAATATCTAAATTACTTAGCAATACCGTGGATTCTTTATGGTCTGTGCACTAAATGGCATATTTTAGAGCGTTGAGAATCCAGACTCTGCTGTTGCAGTAACAGGGATCAGTAAACAGTCAGTCCTATGCAGTAACAGGGATCAGTCATATGTGCCAAGAGTCTGTTTAGGTATAGCGTAAATAGACAACACTGGGGCTGCTGAGCTACCTCAGCAGACTAAGAACCGGCTTAGGTAAGTGGAGGGACCAGGGTCTGATCCCAGCACCGCTCTGCCCCCAGGCGCACTGAGCAGTCCATGGAGACTGGGTGTGGTGGCACAGGCCTGTGAGCCCAGGGCCGCGGAAGCTGAGACAGGAGGGTTACTGCCATTCCGGACTGCATAGCGAGGCCCTGTACCAAATGCATTAAAATAAATAACTAAATATATAAGACAACACTAACCTAGTGTGACAAGTTTCCACAGAAGAGACAGTGGTGGGGGTGGGGCTGCACAGAAGGTGTCAGGGGCACAGTACTATTTGATTTCTTGGGACTTAGTTGTGAGAGTTCATCGAGCTGTTCAGCCAGCATTGTGGGTTGGGCGTGGTGGCCCCTGCCTGTAATCCCAGCATTTGGGAGGCTGCGACAAGAGGATTGCCATGGGTTAGGGACCGACCTGAGCTGCGTAGCAAGTTCAGTGAGTTCAAGACCTGCCTGAATTACAGAATGAGACCCTGTCTAAAAAAAATTTTGTGCACCTAGTTTTACAAAGGTTACACACACTCCAGTGTGAGCTTATTAAATATAAATGCACCCCAAATTAAAAGCAGATGAGAAATATCTGAAGGTTTTATTGAAATACAAACTGTTAGTAGCTTATGAGGTAGATCTTGGGACACCTTTAATTTCAATCTAGTTTTACAAATTGTTTTTTGTTTTTATAAATAAATTTTCTTTATAACTAAATATCTTTTATAGTCAGAAAAAATAATGCTAAATTATTTTGGAATGTGATAAGTGTGAGTTAGTATTTTCACAATTTTTTTAGTATTCCTTGGTTGTTTTTAATTTTGAATAAGTTATGTGTTCTCATCCAAAATTTTTAAAAAGTGTATGTAGAGTAGGTGCTTGCTCAGAGTACTTGCCTACTACATGCGAGGCCCTGGGTTCCAGCCCTAGCACCATTCTGTTTTTTTTTTAATTTTTTTTTTATTTATTTGAGAGAGAGAGACAGAGAGAGACAGAGAGAGAGTGAGTGTGTGTGGCCAGCTCAGCCCACCAGGGGGTGGGGCTGGCTGGCATGTGGTGCTGGGGGATCGAACCGCGGTCCTTGATGCTTTGCTAAGC